TAGACAAAAACATCCACTTATATATTTATTATGGAATATTATTAAACTCGGGGATTTGTGGTTCGTGTCGAAGTTAAAATCAATTTGATCAAAATATGTCTTTTAGAATTACTGTTTCCAATGAAAATTATATCGATCAATCAAAATCAATAAAAACAGATTATAGGGTATTAATCACTGTATGATATGAGTAAAAATGTGATCTATATTCATTGCTGCATCGCAATGCAGTGAGCCGCCTTCCAAGCCATTGATAGTAAATTCGGACATCATTGTCTATTAAGTTCTTTTCCATACATGTTAGACGAAATACAGCTCAGCAGATATTTACAAAATCTTTTCCAGATTAATGGTTAAAAATGGCTTTGAGTGAGTGAAGTCTGTGGGTCTTGGAGAAAACCATTCTTCTTCGAATATTGTGAACTGGCACTACAGAATTACCAAGAACTGTGCCAAATAACAGAAGACACTCCCTCGAGGATTTTCAACAGCAGCAACAACTAATATCTAACTCGAATGGAAATAATGACATAATCATGTAGATGACGTTCCACACAACTTCAAATAAAAGGTTAGGAAGGAAACTCCCATCAATACTGGAAAGAGAAATAAATACGACTTGACTTGAGAAACCTGTTTTCTTGAAAAATTGTTTTAATAGAAGATTTTCTATAGAATTAAAAGGAGAAGAAGGAAGAAAAGGCGGAGGTTTGTCTACTTTACAAATTAACCTTCACAATTCTGAACTCTGGCGCCAAATAGCGATGATCTAAGGGAACGGTAATATTTTAGATCCAAACAGACTGCCAATCCAAAGATTGATAAATTTAATAAACTTGTATATTCATGATACTTTGAAAAACAAAGATGGATGAGTAAATGAATAGATATCTATCCCCTCTCTCGTTATAAATATATCTTGGTGGGTGAGGGCTAATGCCACGTCCAAAAATGGTCAAAGATGAAAAGTGAACGCTAAGGATTAGGCCTGGCATAGATGAGTCATAAGGTCTTTTAAAATACTAAAAGACCACCACACGGAGACTGAAATATTTTCCAATCCACCCTCCCTACTAAATATTTCTGATTACTCACTGCAGGGTATTAGACAACAGACACAACATTCTTATCTTGATACATATTTTATTCATATCGCATATTTTACAAGTAGGTTATCTTATACGCTGCTGAGCAGAGAGGACGGACCATGCTTATCTAAGACCACGAAGGTCGCACCCAAAAGTTGAACTCAAAATAGGCAACAAGTTGGATACATAAAAGCATTAGACGTTTCGGATTTTACAAGTATTTAAATGTACCAACATATAAAACGAAAATGGTCTTATAGACGCAGTTTCTCAAGTCAGACTGCATACAACAAACAACGTGTTATTTCAGTTTCTAGTTTATATATATATATATATATATATATATATATATATATATATATATATTAATAAAATTCATAAGAATGCATATGATTTTACACATATAAATACGTATATTCAAGCATATACAGGGTGTATCAAAAATACTTTTATAAACTTTGGGGGCGGGTCCCTCACAGCAAAACAAGGACGTGTGCCGGTACCTGGATCGTCTCCGACAGCGTGTAGAATGTGTTTTTCGCTGTCAGAGGTGCGAGTAGATGTCGGTCTTCCTCGATCCATATTTTGTGGTGCCACGGATCATGTCTCAGCACCGCAACGACAAACAGCAGCACTGGTTGGATGACTCTGTTGCTTTCAGTCTGGAAACGCCATCTGATACAGCCGTGCAGCCTTGCCTCCATTACCATTCGCGCGACGGTACATAAAAATCATGTCTGCCTGCTCACGATATGAATATCCTGACATGGTTAAGCGGAACAATTCTCCGTTAACTCACTACTACACACATTAAACGTTGAAGACTGACTAGCCACAAATGTATACGAATGACAAATGCAAACTAGTCTACATGGCAACACAGCGCCATTTACCGTAAACTTTCTTTAAACTTAATAACTCAAAAATGAAAGATTTGCGGCCATATGTTTTTATAGACTTTTCTCTTTGCGTTGGTGTAAGGAATCCAGACCCAAAGTTTGTAAAAGTATTTTTGATACACCCTGTATAGATCGCATTTACTCAATGCTTGCAAAATCAATTTGTATGCGACTATTATTTTAAAACAATGAAAGGCTACTTGGATCGACAGACACCTGAAGAAGGCTGAGTTCACAAAACTCGAAACGTCGTGATAACATCAAAGATGAGGACATTAGTCCAAATGTAAATAATGATAGAGTCTCATCTAAAATTTTTAGTCATAAATGACCTTTCAATTGTGCAGGGCAACTCAAATCACTTACTGACGGCACTTTTATCGATCTTCGATCAATTACAGCTAATGTTTCTTTCTTTTTCACACTACTTACATAATTCATTAAAAAGGTTAGTTGAAGTATTGAAGAAATATACTATCATTTAATCGTCAGTGCAAACCACAAGATTCTATTAATGGGGAAACACAATAAATTCAGAAACAGTATTATGAGATCAGTAATAATATCGAGCAGAAAAGCTCCAATGAAAGCCTAGCGTGAAAAGTCAGGATTCTAATAAAAGGAAAGACTATTAACATTTATTAGAACGGCTAGGAGACATGGTCAAAATCTACAGGACATTGGAGTTTTAAAATCCTTAAATATTGTGTGCTTAGGTAAGGAAGTTATTACAGATTTTACAAGTACAAAACTGATTGCTCAGAGAAAGATTTTCTTGCGTGTGCGTTTAATTGAAATTAATCCTTCCGGCAAGAGAGTAATAAGTTTTACCATCTCAGCTGTAAAGATGAAACCAAAGACCTTAAGCAAAACTTTAAATGCTCAAAATACTGGGGACTATAGAGTATTGATGAAAATTGAATGATACATGATCATATCTTTTCCACCGGACCATATCTTTCTTTTGGGAAGTTGTTCAGTCATTTTTAAGGCGTTATGATTCGGCTATACTATTGTTCGATTTCTGATTTTAAACAATTTTTGTTTTTTGAAACCATGAAAAAATCTGTTCATTTACTTCCTCTACCTTTCAACCAACCAGAGTGTGACTTTACTTGATTCCTATTTTTGTCAGCTTTTAAAAAGAAAACTAATTTGTGAAGACCAAATATAGTGGTGTAAGTTCTATGTGGACCCCCTTTTAAGATAACACTATATTCTACCTCGTGTTGAAGTACACTGAACTCGTTATTGGAAAATCATTGTTAATGATTTTCAAGCTGTATCTACTCGGTGGATGCATTGCCTGGCGACATTAACAAATTAAGTGACGTGGTAATATTTCTGTATTCGTAAAGGGTCGCCATTGGCTGTCTACAGATTTAAGCGTAACTCTTTTCACGGGCAAAGGAACAAATATATCATTGGCAATTTAGTTCCTTTGTATTGCAGAGTATTCAGTAATTACTGGGAAAGTTCTCAAGCTTTTCTTCATAGTTGTAAGCGAAGAATCGGATTCTAAATTTTGCTTTACCAAATACAACAAATCTACGATGACAATTTACTATATTTGGTAAAAGGCCATACATGTGCGAATCTGTGAATGCTGTTTAATCTTTTTTTTATAAATGCTCTGGTTATAGAGATATTCTGCTATCATTAAAACTTAGAAACGTGTGCACTGTTTTGTTTCATATCAAACAAAAAATGATTTAAAATAACCCAACTTAAATGTGTATTATGAAAAATTTATCTAGATAGCTGTAAGTTCCATAGACGTATGCGCACCATGCACAACTGCAGTCTATAAAATGTGTACTTATAGTTAAAAAGCTTAAACTACTGAAACTGAATAAGCAATGGAGATAATAGAAGACATTCCAAAAAAAGATCAACGTTCAGAAGCCTTAAAGATCATCTCAGCATGCCAGAGAGGAACAACCATCAAAAGCTGGATGTGTGGTTATTAGATTAATTTTTAGCTGATATGTGTGTAAAGTTCAGTTTATGTAGGAGAAGTACTGGGTTAAATTAAGTTACAAGAAAGGAAATTATGTTGAAAAATAAATACTTTATATTATTTAAAGTCGGACTAATGTACTCATCTTTTTACTGTTAAAACGTTTTGCATGTTGTGCTTTCCAGTCTTGTTCAGTTGGTTGACGATAGCGTCAGAGAATTTAGAACTGAACCCTTTATTCTACTGGGATTAATTGTCCTCGAGCCGTTGTCTACATATAGGGATATCTCGTCTTAACCTTTTTATTACTAATCAATTTCTTCTAGTCTCATTTCCACTAAGTCTATACCAGAATAGTAGAGACTTTTTGCTCTTCATTAGGCTACGGACTTATTGATATATTTACTTACGTCATAAAACTGTTGCCATAAAAACTCATTTAAAGCATATATATATATATATATATGGGATCAAAAATATAATAATAATATAAAATTATGGGATCTGTTGATTCTGCTACCTTGGTTTCAACCTCATTACGTTATTGGCAGAGAAAACCAAATTTATGCCGTAAGGTTGAAACCAAGGTAACGGATTGAGCTGATCCCCTAATTTTTAAAGGTAAAAGCTCTACATGTTATTTTTTATTTTTATTTTTTCCACACGTGTATTGAGGACTTTTAAATACTAGTGTTTCCTGATCCAATTCAACTCTGATCATTAAACTTCTCAGACAAACTTAGAAGACTTTCAAAAAATAAAATATTAATCTGATGCTTAGTTATTTGGCCATCATTTCAAAAATGGATCAGTGTGTGTGTACGTTCAAACCCTATGCGCAACATACTGTTTGCTTGTATCAACGAGGGTTATTACGAAAAAATGAAATTAACTTTTACACGTTACTTCGAGTGAGGTTTAATTCAATGAAGTTAATATCTGACAGGAGTGTAATGAATTCAGCCGTAAGAGAATATGTCAATAAAAATCTTGTAACTTGCTTTTATCTCTTGGATATTGAAGATATAAAATTTGATGGGACCAAATACTTACCATCTTAAAATTCGGATGGATCGTCGTGTTGGCCTGCTTAAGTTTCTCTTTATTACCCACAGATCCGTTGCTCAACATTGAGTAACTAATACTGATTCCAAATAATATAAGTAATGGCACCAAAATACGTATCATTTTGGATGTACAACAGGAGGTGCCGCTTCTGCCACCACCGCCGTTCGCACTCCTTCTTCGACTACTATCTCTGATACAATGGATTCTACCGAAACAACGACACAGTCTTTGGGGTAAGCAGACACTGTTTCTGTCTGCTGATTCACGCTCGTCTCTATCGCAGGGACCGTGAGTCCGACTGTTTTCAGTGCGAGGCCCGATGAAGCTATAGTCGCTTGGATTAGACTTTGGAATAAAACTGTCGCCACTTCGGGTAGCGCTGTCGCAGGTAATCCAAGTACTTGTCTGTGATGCGTGATTTCTGTCGTTATGTACACTTCCGGTGCTGCCGCTTCGACAAGGGCAAGCACTAGACGCACTGCCTGAACATCGACATTGGTCACCTTTGTCGGACTGGATAAAATACTGTGAAGATCTGAAAAAATAAGCCAAACACGTATATCGTTAATATAAATATATTTCAAATAATATACGAGTGAGCATCAATAATTCCGTAGCCATATATGTATTTATTATCTGAATTTCTATTGAAAATTTCTACTGTGTAATGATAGATGTAAGTTATTTATAGTGAAACTTTAGCTTAAGGGCATTTATATAGAAGGAGATTATGTTGAAAAATAAATACTTGTTCAAAATAGTTTTGTTTTTATTCATTATTAGGCTAAGTATTTACTGATGCGATTATATACTGAATAAAACTAGGATTCCTCAAATATTTTCGTACTAAATTGTTACTCATTTTTTCAATATGTTGAAGAATGAAAAGCAGAAGAACTTGCTTCTAGGTAATAAATATTTGATGAACATACTAGAAGCATGAGTGAATTTTCTTAGTATGCGACTAACTAATTATTCCAAATGACGATTTTGCTATTTTTATGCTTGCTTTAGTTAAATATAAAGTCTCAAGTTGAACTCAAGGAAACATCTGAATCTCGTTCTAACCAATTGTACAAGCAACCAGGTTGAATGGGCAAAATTTGATAAAATTATTCCGTGATATTTTTTATATGCTTCTTCACTGGAGGATTTTTCTTTTTTTATCCTAACTTTTCAAACAATTAACATTCTGGTTGGTGCGAGATATTGCAATCCTATTTGAAAGGAACCATTTCAACAGATAAGATGTGTCACTATAATCATTTCAGCTGATAAGATGTGTCGCTATAATCATTTCAGCTGATAAGAGGTGTCGCTATAATCATTTCAGCTGATAAGATGTGTCGCTATAATCATTTCAGTAGATAAGATGTGTCGCTATAATCATTTCAGCTGATAAGAGGTGTCGCTATAATCATTTCAGCTGATAAGATGTGTCGCTATAATCATTTCAACTGATGTCGATATAATCATTTCAGTAGATAAGATGTGTCGCTATAATCATTTCAGCTGATAAGATGTGTCGCTATAATCATTTCAACTGATGTCGATATAATCATTTCAACTGATAAGATGTGTCGCTATAATCATTTCAACTGATGTCGCTATAATCATTTCAGCTGATAAAATGTGTCGCTATAATCATTTCAAGTGATGTGTCGCTATAATCATTTCAGCTGATGTGGCTCTATAATCATTTCAACTGATTTCAGCTGATAAGATGTGTTGCTATAATCTATTAAAAATCCTTTTCTTTTCCTCCCTTTTTCTACCTCAGTGAAGGACTGAACCATGTTACTAATCATTGTATCTAGTGTTCCATAATGCCAGATATATTGGGCACTTCGACGTGTTGTAATGATTAGGAAGTTTGTTTCATTAGAACAATTACCACTGCCTAGTGAGTTCAATCCCCACTGGGTGCCCCATACTTTCGGACTTGTGCCACATCTAAGTTACGCTTTGAAAATCTCTAGAACAATTACCACTGGGTAAGGAGTTCGATCCTCACTGAGTGCCCTATAATTTCGATCTTATGCCACATCTAAGCTATGCCTAGGAAATCAGACATATGACGATCACGTGAGGTAGACGTGAGCACCTATGCTCAACATTGGGACTCGGGTACAGACAGATTTCGAATAGTCATTTTTAAGGTAGGCAAGCCAGCCCGGTGAAAAATAAAGGGGGACACAACGCACTATATCTATCAGCTCTAAATCCTACCTTCTTGACCTTGTCAGCGAGAAGGTATTTACCTTTCATACTAAGCGTAACCACTGAAAATCATTATATAATAGTATGTTTGACCATAAATTCGAGTAGTTGACAGCTTAGTTTGAAACAAGGCCAACAGTATTGTGCACTCAGTGAAAATCGAATTCTCTAGTAATAGTCAACTAAAATAGTCTAGTCTCACCAAACAAAACCCCCACCAGTTAAGGTTTACAATTTTTCGTAACCTTCTCTGTGCATTTTCTTACTGAGTCAAACGTTTGTGAATTTGCACTAATTATAGTTATTTGAATATGAATTTCAAGTGCTGATCTTTAGGGAAAACAATCTATTATTGATTGACACAATCTTTCGACTTTAGAAGTACATAGTCGGCTCGCAAGCAGATATTTGGCATTTTTGGAAAATTTATCGTTTGAAAGTCGAGAGTATCATGATTTCCGAACTGGTCTAAATTTTTTTGAAATGAGTGAAACTTTCTTTTTAAAAAAATGACATATCAAGTGTAAGTGTATTTTGGGGCCATAAAACACAAAATTCCGTTAAATTCCGTTAAATATTTTACCAGAATATTTTACCAGAATCTTCGTCTCCGATCATCCTACCAACTTCAACTAACGCTAACAAAAATTACCAAAGACAAAATTATTTTAGTGCAAGTTCCCAAATATTAGAACAATTGAAATCTGCAATGTTTAAGAGCCTTGAATGGCAACTGGTCTACTGCAGGAAGAAATGGCAACCTACTTTGGAAAAAAAAATCAGCCTCGTCATTCAGGTCTCGAAAGTTATGTGCCATGCGTGAAACACGCATGGCACATAACTGACTGAATGTGTAAGATAATTGATCTCCGGAAGATATTTAAACATATTCAGCTCCTTTAACATGTTAAATTGATCATTGCTCGCTTTCCACATCATATGCCGGGTACCACATAGCAGTTTTGGACATAACTTACCTTTTTTTATAAAAAAAACAAACAAACAAACAAAAAACACGATATTTTTAGTGGGAGGGTACTGAATCCATTTCTTTGACACTGCCCCCCCCCAATAATTTTAAGGGGATAAATACGGAGCACTTTTCGGGAATTTGGACTTATCACTGCAGTCCAGGTTTTTCAGATCTAAACCTATATTTCCTACCTCTTAAGTACAAATAACATTAATACTGTTCCATAATCGAGCCAAAAATGTCTGCTTGCCTCTTTTGGACGAACCTGCTGTGAAGTATATGTACGAGTTAAATACATATCTACTGAATTAAATCTAACAGAATCTAAATTTCGTTTACTGTTAATCTAGACCATAACTTTTCCGAACGAAAACTAAAAACTTTCCAATCGGTCCATAAACTGACTAAAGTTCCAGGGCATCACAAATCAATACTTTCCACTTCGGTTAGAAAACTCACTTTATCCGTTTCTTTTATTGAATTGTTCTAGGTATGACGATAAACTACATCTGGCAGCAAGGGGGGGTGAGGAGCGTGGAACCACCTCTTAATTGCTGTTGTTCCCAGGTTCACCCGAACCCAGTGTAGTAGCACCTATTAGGGTCCCAGCTATGGGAAAATAGTTACCAAAACATTATGAAAGTAAAAACACATTTTCATAGTAAAAATACTAGCAATACAGTTTTGGAAAAAAATTGCCAGCAATACATTTTTGTAAATGAAATTACTAATACTCCAAGAAAATTAAATTTCGGCATTAAATGACCCATAAGGATGTTGATATGCCGCTAAACAAACAGACACTTCTCTTCCACTGAACCAAAATATAGCACTTTCCCGTACTACCAGACTCAGAGATTTAACTCACAACTGCTACAGAACTAGTTATGTTTTAACCAACTCTTTATTAACCATGAACAATCCATGTTATGTAATTTCTGAGTGACCTTTTCTTCTAAAGCAGAGGCACTCACATGATGTTTATTTTTTATGCTAGGTCTACTGTAGGTCTAAGTAGAACATTACCAAGAACTGTAAGTATTCCATCCCATGCAGTTGTGGCAAGGAAATCAACGGCAAGACTAGTTTCCTCATGAATTTAAGTGTGGAGGAACTTTGAAAGGTTGTAATTCGGGGAGAATCATTGAAATCCTGAATGGTTGATCATGTATGTCTAGGAAAAAGGTGGCATATTACTGTAGAATGAAATCAATACAATAGACAGCAAGCAACACAAAGGAAAATAGACGAGAGTGTATTAACGGATACGCAATATCTCCTATACCTGAAAGGCCGAATGAAAACAATTTACTACAGTGAATTTAATAAAGGGTCTTCAGAAGGCCGTAGGGTTTAACGACTGAAATGTTGTGAGATAACAACCAAGAAGAGAAGAATGTTAATTCATAATCTGAAACATTCCGACATAAATCGTTCATTTTTGTTTGAAATTTTGGGTTGGCATTTTTTTACATTCGAACTAATGTCATCATCTTTGTCATTGTTGTCCCAGCATTTTGGTTGTTGTGCCCTCCGACCATCTTCCGGTGTCTGTCGATTTGGGTAATCGTTGGGTAATTTCGAACTAAACACTTTATTTAATTTCGCAGATAGATTGTTCTCGTTCCACTATTCATATCTAGGGGCTATCTCGACTTGTTCTTATTTAATACTGGTCAGATATTTATCATCCAGTTTCCGCTGAGTCTACGTTTGTACTATCCAGACCATGGATTGAACAAAGTTACCACGTCACCAATTTCACAAACAAAGTCTCTACACCACTAGGCTAATGGAAACATGACGAGCAACAACGGAGTAGTACTAAATAAATAAAAAATATAGATATACCTAGAAATAGACAGTAAAACGAGAAAATTCCTAAAGGCTTAAATGAGATTAAATGAAGACTTCAGTTTGAAATTCCCTGAAGGTTACTCAGATCGACAGACATTTAAGAAAGTCGGGGAGCACGCCAGTTGAAACTTTATGGCAACAACAAAGATGAGGAAATCATTCCGAATGTAAATTTTATATGCATTTGATAATCATTTAAAATCGATACTAAAAGGTTTTAATTATTTTTTAATCACTTTGGCGTCTCAGAATAAAACTATTAACGGCGTTAATAGTTTTATTCTGAGATATTAATTTAACGCCTAAGTGTTTGGAGGTATCACCTTATGAAAAGCTGGAGGTCTGCGCCGCGTTAGCAAGTCATTGCTTTCGTCAGATGAGATCCAAATGAAAATTATCACCGTATTGTATTTTTTTTAAGCGGTGTTTGCATTGGATTAGGTTTGAACCACACAGTCTGTACAGCTTTCAGTGAATTGCTTTTATCGCTAAGCAACAATGGCAGAATGTGTGCGCGTGTGTGACGGTGGGAATTTGGTTGATTTTGAAATAATGGAACACCCAGGACTGGTAGCAATGTTGTTTCGTGAAAGGGCGAAATTGAGTGAAGCACCAGGAAAGATTCCAAGACAAACAATGAACGAGGTAATGAAAATAAGAATCGTAGAGAGTCGAAAGAAAGAAGAAAAGGGTGTAGGCGATGCAGAAAGGCGATGGCGACGAAAATGAAGAGAAACAATGGCGCGAAAGAACTGATGTGGGGAAGGAGGCAGAAGATAGACATGCAAGGATTAAGCGAAAGAAAAAGAATAAAATATATATATAAAAAATAACTCGTAGTGGCGGAAGAGGAAAAAGAAATGAGAAAACAATGAGAAAGTAAGAAAGCAAGTAAAGGGGAAAAGAAAGATGAAGAAATGAAGATGTTGGAAGGAAAAATGCAGAAATATGGTATGTGAGAAGGAACGGAAAAAAAAGGAAGGTGAGCACGTAGGCAAACAAAAGAATAATGAAGTTGTTGAAGTAAAGAATGTAAGAGAAAGAGAAATCAGATATAATAAGAAAATTAATCTTATTGAGTAATAAAAGCGAAAGGAGTATGGAGACAATTTGAAAGAATAAAGATATGATCACTATAAAAAATTGGAAAATAAAAAAATGGAGGAATTACTGGAAAGAAAATAAGCTGAAAGGAAAAAAAAAACATCGAAGAATCAGAGAAAGAAATAATCAGGCTAAAAAAAGTGGATGAAAGTAAAGACAAGAGAAGAAATGGCGGGGGATGAAAAGAGAAAGGAAAAAAAAAAAAAAGAAAAAGACAAAAAACTTGGGAGGGGAAAACGCCCGTGAAGAAGGAAGATTACAGATAGGTCACACTTTGTTAAGTTGGCCACTCCAAACAAATTCTGCATAGCAAACATTGAATTATCTTACTTTCATTCCCTTACGATTTTAAACCAACCTCATATTCTGAGCCCTCCTCTAGATGTGAAAAGTAATACATAGAAATGCACGAAAAATAACATCAGAAATGCAATATAATTTATTCGCCATTATATGCGCGTATATATGGAAAGAGTTTATTTTAGGTCGTAAGCTCAGAGAAGAAGGGAGATGCCATTGTTTCGATTCCTGGGAATACCCGCTCCCTCCACCACATACATTTGTTCATATACGATTGGAATATTTCTTGGCTAGTACCATTCCAGTTTTTTAGATTTTTTGCGGCCTTTTTATAACTTTAGTTTTGCCGGTGGAGTAATGGATAGCGGCTCGGATTGAGGAATCGGAGAGCCTGGTTCGGATTCTAGTCGGATCCATTACATTCACTTACGTGTTAATACCCTTGAGAATATGAATACTCTTCTTCTTCCATCCCGCAGCTATGGGGAAATAGCAGGATAGATCGGGTTCTATAGCCTTGGATGGCAACTGGTCTACCGCAGAAGGAAATGGCAAACTACTACCGGGAAAAAATCTACCTCGTCAGTCATGAATGGAAAGATACATGATCGCCTAAGCGTATATTACGCATGGCACATAACTGATTGACTTTGTATATTGGTTTTACAAAATTTAATAACCTGATGGTTCAAATCGAAAAATATGAGACTAGTTCAGTTATGAACGTAAGCGAGTGTTTGTTATGCAGAACTAGTTTGGAGCGTTAAAGTTAACAATGCCCAACGGAACGCTCTTTATAGCAAGATGTTCATATTTGAAACAGAATATGGAGTAGATGCCAAAGGAATATTTTCAAAAGAAAAAGCATTCAGCATTGTGTTCATGATTCCCTTGATATTACGGGATCATTTCTTAAATATCTTTTTATTTTATCATGAAATTCTCCCTTGTCGAAACATGTCAAAAATCTTCACGCACATCTCAATGAAAAATATGGCAATGTCAATAATAAAAAAAAAAATACTCATGGTTTGAATACACACATGTTATTCCGGGCGCAAATTTAAATAAATATGTGGGTAAATCAATGTCTGCAGCCTGATGGTGATATGAACATTTATATTATATAACACTTTGCTACTTTCTTGTGAATAAACTTAGTTTAGCGAGGAACATTAACATAAATTGAACATTATACCGTGAAAATTTTAGATCGAAATTCAACTAATAACTACTTGTTAAGATACGGACTTAGTATAAGTCGAATAAGTCAACTTGGTGTTAAGAATTCAGCTTCTTTTGTATTTGCTTTTCAGTTTGATTCGTATAAAAACAGCTTATTGGAAAATAAACCATTTACTTTAATAATTGGTAGAAAAGTAGACAAAAGTTTTTTTTCTATACATGCACACATGGTCGGTATATGAAATTCAAATATATTTGCATATATGCGAATATAAAAAGGCAGGAGAGGAAAACATGCGTACTTATAACAATAGCATAAGGATATTCGTGCCGGTCTGAAATAGACTATACCCACATGAGGTAATTCTGGATTTTTTGCTGTATAATCTCTGTGGATCAGTTGTAATATCTGATATTACTAGGATCCACCTGGATTATATACCAATGGATCTATTACCTGAACTATGAATATATATATATATATATATATATATATATATATATATATATATATATATATATATATATTATTCATTCATAGACAGACTGTTTCGCTGCACCACAGCTCTTCAGTTTGGCTAAATGCCCGATTTTTTCAAGCCGGGATCGAAACTCGACTGATTTGGCAGAGATCCTACCCCTAAACCGTCAGCGCACGTGAGAGAAAAAAGAAAATTTTAGCGTTTTCTATACGGAATACACCAGCGGCTAAGAAAACTCAATTCATGCTTGAAGATATATATATATATATATATATATATATATATATATATATATATATATATATATATATATGTGTGTGTGTGTGTGTGTGTGTGTGTGTGTGTGTGTGTGTGTGTGTTTTAGAAAATAAGGGTTAACTCATTCTTTGTATTATCAATGTCTTCATTTTCTTTTGTTTTAGAAGTAGAAAAACAAACAAACACGAGATACTCATTTTAACATTTCTTGAAATAATGACATCTAAATACTTTAGGCAAAGGCTAAATTATCTAGTATTCTTTTAAAAAAAAAACTACTTTAAGTAAAATTCAATCTTTGTTCTGTTTACAAAATACCTTAATCAGAATAGTATTAAAACTTCAAGTTAATAAAGCATTTAATAAGTACATATAAATCAGATGGAAAATGAATGCAAAAATCGTCTTTAGCCAAATTCGAACTCGTACCCACTGGACAACAATACCTCGAAATTTAATCCAACACAACTAAAATTGTGATGTTATCGATAGAAACGTGACTTGACTACTGTTTATTAGGCACACAGCCCTGGAGGTAAAAAAATAAAAATAAAAATACTTGACAAGATGGATTAAAGTCGAATTGCCGAAATTAGTGATGCAATTTCATCACACTATTTTTACAAGTATACATCAGGCGTCATTGAATAATCGGATCGCTATAATTGAACTATTGTTGCCATTTAATTTACCGTTAATTGTAATTAGGTTGAATATAATGGCTTACTGAAGGCAGATCTAGCACAATATTAGGCGTGGTTATCTTATTTAAATTATTAACTGCTAGTCTTCGTTTTTTTTTTTTTTTTCTTTCTTTGCGACTGTAATTATCAACATTGTACGTGAGTTCATAAATTCCACTGAGTCAACTGTTTTAATCAAGTCGTCATCTTCCTCTAGGAAAGTGATGCCGGTAACCGGTAGGTAAGCTGAAACGTTTTTTTGTTTGTTTGGAAAAATTAATGTCGAACCCATTTATACATTGTTTATAAACAGACATTCGTTCTCAAAAATAAAAAGTTTCCGCTTAAACAGAAACTAAAACTTTTTAGATTATAGATTTATGTATCCATATAAAAAGTTGCATGTGTTAAAAAAAAAGTAATTTTAATTAATATCAATCAATTTTATTTAACACAAAAACTTATTTAATTTTATAAGGAGCTTAGACGGCTGCCATAGATTTTCCGGGATGCTGACCCTACATTATAATATCTTAAAAATATACAAAAACAATAATAAAATGAAATTAAAAATGTGAGTAAATAATAGTTTTATACTGATTTTTCGACTTTTAGGTAATTTTTCTTATGAAAGGAAATGTCTTAGTCAATAAAAATAGTGTCATAAGTCATTTTTATCCGGTTTAGTACCAACAAGATTAAAATGTATAGCCATCTCCTGAAGGGTTCTAATCGTAAACTTAACTTAATTTTTCGCGAAGTTGAGAAAAACTTAATGGTGTAAAATGTAAAACAAAGTCCTAAGACACAATTCAGCATCAGAAAAAAACATAATGAAAAATAAGCATATAATGTTAAAACAAGGAAATAACGCATGGGATTGTTCTTTAAGAAATTAACAAAAACAAATAAGAAAAAACACAATTTTCCAAATTAAAAAACGTGAAGTTTGGCTGACATGAAAGAAAATGAAGAAATTTCTAATGAAAAACAGAATAGAGTTAAAAAAGAAAAAAAAAGATTTATTAAATGTTTTTCACATTTTGCGTAAAAGAATAATGAATGTAGAAATAATTTAAAGGAATAACAAAATAAAATGGAATAAAGTACTTTTGAAGAGAAACGAAAATATATTTATGCAAAAGTGAGTTAACACTTTTTAAGTGAAACGAAATAAACTACGTAAAAGAAAGGGTAAAAAAAAAGCGTTCGTTTGGACTTCACCTTGTGATTCGGTACGAAAAGTAGTGGAAGCGTGTCTATCGTCACCGTTTCTCTCACGCGAACTAACGTTGTCTGATAGTAGCCGAAGCAGACAATGTTTTTTTTTTGTTTTTTTTTTCTCCTCAATCTCTTTCAGCCTTATACTCCAAACTCGCGTTGTGTACGCACGGTATGGAATCGTATAAATGTTCAAATGAATCTTCCAAGGTCAACATCTGTGTATTCATTGAAATCATGTCTATTTTTTGCGAAAGGGGTATTAACGCTAACAGAAAAAAAAAAAAAAAAAAAACTTTTTGTTCCCGTACTGTAAATACCAGGAACATAGATAACTCCTCCGGTAGCAGTTTGCCTAAATGGATGAAGACTGATTATGATTCCGTAACTTAAAGAAAAAGTAATTAACATTTTATCTCTGTAAAATAATTATAATGTGAAGTGTAAGTTCAAAATATTTCACTTTGCAAAATTCTACATACATACATACATGGAAAGATATGATAATAATATCAATGAACTTCGGTGGTTTTTGTATCCATTGTTTTTACTATCCAAACACTAATAGATTAGTTTATCAAAAAGAACACTGATGTTTTAATTCAAATTCTTGTAACAAGACACTATCACATTATGTGTAAACATAGACTTTTTTTTCGTGTATGGATGAATGTGTTGCCATCATTAGATGAAAAAACAGTTAATATATACATAATGTGTATATCTAGCGTTGTCTGTAGACGCGGGCACGTGTGCCTGTCTGCGCGTCGCATACATTGGTGCATATCGTCCTTTCAAGTATTCGTTTGCGTCTTGCCTTATCAAATCTATAAATAGCATCTCCGACCTGAATGCGTGCGTGCCCCTGCTCGGCAAACTACACGAAAATTAGATCAGCGA